AACAAGAATGGATCATGGGAATCATTATCCAGCAAGATTGAGAAGGCCACATAGGTTCCTATTCCTGCATTGATCCAATGGAAAACAGTCCCTTGGTGAGCAATATCAAGATGAGGGAAAGTGTTGGTACACCCAGAGAACAATTTGCTTGGTAATTCTATCACAAACATAACTGAGGAATCAAAAGCTAGGAACAGGTGTAGGCAAGCTGATGTCCTTCAAAAGTTTTGCACCAGCATTTGCCTTATCGCTGTCCACCAGCTACACAGGGAGTTGTATGCAAAATATCTGGAAAGCAACAAATTCTTCCCTCGAGGCCTAGATAAAGTCTATACCTGAAGCTCTTAATGCAATTTCCAGTGTTTGATGATAAGCAAATCCCACCTTTCTCCCCCTTAGAGATACGGTAGAGTAATATTTGACTAGAGGGCACGAGGACATTTAAATTGTCTTGGATTATTTCTGTAATGCAGATCCAAGGGGATTCAAATGCAAGTTCATAGGAGTCTTCCAGAAGAAATTTCAGCAAAAGAAAAGATAGTACCTTTACACAAACCAGCTATAGGATCTCTCCCAATTGGGGCAAAACAGTGCTTGCGAAAAAGGGGTATGAAAATAATGGTGCTGAAGAACAAGGCATCATCTACTATCCTGCATCTGAGATCACATGAGGTCATCTGGGAAGTATACCTGTAACATCGATATACTAGTCAGAGTGATGAAGAAAAGAAAATGAAAAATTATGAAGTGCAGACCTCCATGTCTCTTCTCAGAAACAAGCCTCACTGTATTTAGTGAGATTTCCTATCAAGCAGGTGAACACAGGACTGCAGCTGAAAGCATTTTTGCTATGACAGTCAGCCTAGAAAAACCAAAGTTTACCAGAAGCAGGAATTTTAGGAAGCCCCCATTAGAGTCCAACTGGTCAATCATCAGCATCAGACCATCAAAGATTTGTAGCATGAACACCATTTCTATAACAGGATTAGAAACAGATGGACTTCATGAGGGACCATCCACTCATGCATCCGCCGGCCTTCTAAGCACTCCCAGAGCGCCGCTCTCTTCCTGCTCGGCATCCTCCCTCCCATTGCCAGGAGTGACTCGCCAAGCAGGGCTCCGGGAGTGACTGGAAGGAAGAATGAGGCTGCTGGCAGATGTGTGAGTGGATGGTCCAGCCCCAGGAAGGTGGACCCTCATTACAAGTCCAGCTGTGTTGGGGTTTTCATATACAAATACCCCCATCTCTAAAAAGGATTATTGTAAGTTTTTATACATCTTCTAAATCAGAAGTAGGGAACTTTTGACCCTCTAGACGGAGTCTAGATCAGTGATTCCCAACCTTGAGTCCCCAGGTGTTCTTGGACTACAGCTCCCAGAAATCCTGGCCAGCACAGCTTGTGATGAAGCCTTCTGGGAGTTTTAGATCAAGAATGCCTGGAGATCCAAAGCTGGGAACCACTGCTTCAGATGTTTCGAACTTCAGTTTCCAGGACCCCATAGAACAAGTCAAGGGTAGAACTGAGATGGCAAAACTTCAAAACATCTGGAGAGCCAAAGAGTCCACAACCCTGCTCTAGAGTCTTATCCCAAACACTCAAGGCTACGGAATGAAGAAAAATGGCAGATAAAGGCAAATCAACAATCCTCCAGAACCAAGTCCCATAGTATGTTGCATCAGATCAACAGCAAAACTAGAAGAACAGACAAGACTGACGGAGAGCAAAAGATATCCTAAGATAGGAAATACCCTGTTTCCCTGAAAATAAGACAGGGTCTTATATTAATTTTTGCTCCAAAAACGCATTAGGGCTTATTTTCAGGGGATGTTTTATTTTTGTCATGTACAGCCACCTACATTTATTCAAATGCAGTCATGTCATCTTCTGGCTACTGCACAATGGTGGAGGGCAGGGTTTCACTTAACTGGGGCTTATTTTTGGAGTAGGACTTATATTACGAGCATCCTGAAAAATCATACTAGGGCTTTTTTTCAGGTTAGGTCTTATTTTCGGGGAAACAAGGTAAGCTACTGTGTAGTGATTGCTACCTAACCAATGACATTTTCTCTGTTCTTGCCCCCTACTCCCATAAAGTAGGACACCAGATACATTTTCATTTATTTATGTGGTGTACAACACCAATAAAATATATAATGTAAAACAATATACAACTCTGAAATACAATATTTACATTGTTTATGAGTAGACTGCTCAGGAAAGAGCTGCATAATGGTTGGAACACATCAAGCACATGTAGCACCAACAAACGGCCTCTCCAAGTGAGCTGAAGAATCAAATTAGGAACAAGGCAGTCTCTTAGGCAATCAGAACCCAACTTATTTAAGGCTTTATAATCTAGCAACACCTGAAATCTGACTGTTAATAAACAGGCACCCATTGTGATTCCTTCAGCAGAAGTGTTATATGTCAACGGTACATCACCCCAATTGGAATCTTAGCTCAAGTACTCTATCTACACCAGATATAGAATGCTCATCCTAAGGGCAGTGAAGTTACCAATACCTAGATAATTAAACCGCAGAAGCCTCTGTGCTGCAAGGTCAGAAGACCAGCAGTCATAAGATCGAATCCACGCAACAGAGTGAGCTCCCGTCACTTGTCCCAGCTCCTGCCAACCTAGCTGTTCGAAAGAATGTAAAAATGTGCATAGATAAATAAATACCACTTCGGTGGGAAGGTAACAGCGTTCCGTGTCTAAGTCGCGCTGGCCATGTGACCACAGAAACTGTCTTCAGACAAACGCTGGCTCTATCGCTTGGAAACAGGGATGAGCACCGCCCCCTAGAGTCAGGCACGATGTCAAGAGGAACCTTTACCTTTACCTAGCCCATCTAAGAACAGCCACAAATGGAATAGTAGCCAAATCACTGAACCCAGCTGGGTCTCCAATTACAAAAAAATAGATATAGGAGTATCCCCAAACTGTGTATCCTTCAGTGGAAGTGCAATTTCACCAAGAACAATTAGCAAAAGGCCATATGGTCATGGAAACAATACAAATGCAGGAGCAGGTGATACCTTTAATCGAACATTAAGAATGCAAATTAAAGAAGCAAAAAACCCCAAACAAATAGCAAACTTTCAATGACAAATCAGCTTCCCCAAGGCTGTGCATCAGGTTTTTCTGGGTAGTTCCAAACTTATGTGCTGTTATTTATGTCCCAAGTTCGCGTGGCTGATGGTGTTGAGGCCAGGTTCGCTTCTTAGATGGAAATAACTGCAGCATGCATGTTGATTTCAAAGTCCTCCACAGGCAGCAGCTTGAAATTTATGGCCCATCTCTTAAAACAGAGGGCAGTCAGAGGCCATCTCCCCTTCTTCCTTTCTGAAACTAAAAGCATTTCTTTTTAGTTGGGAGAAGGGCCCACTGACAGGGAACAAGTAATCTACCTATCTCCCAGGCAAGGGAACTTGTTCCAGGTGAAGTTGCACTTCCACTAAAGGATCAAATACAAAGCTTGGGAATACTCCTATATTCATTTTTGTCACTGGAGATCCAGCTGGGTTCAGTGATTTGGCTACTATTCAGCTTGGGGATACTCCTATATTCATTTTTGTCACTGGGGATCCAGCTGGGTTCAGTAATTTGGTTACTGTTCCATTTGTGGCTCTTCTTAGATGGGCTAGCTTGGCTACAATTGTCGGTAACCTCACTGCCCTTAAGGCGAGCACTCTACATACAGCTTGCGTAGAGTACTTGGGCTCCCCTTTTTCCTAGGACTCAGCCTCAATGAATTGGCCTCATCCAGCACACCACTGCATCCAGGCATTGGCCCTTAGAGTACACTCTCCCATGCCTCCCTCAATAAAGATCACTCACCAAACTAACTGAGGCTGACGCAGTCTTGAATCCAGGCCTGAACCCAAACTGAAATGGGTCTAGATCAGTAGAATCGTGTAAAAACGTGTGCAATAATACCACAACATCTGTCTGAAAGACTCTCCCCACAAAAGAGCTTACATGTTACGAAATTATTAAGAAAACAAGTGACTCGTGCTACAACTGAACATAAGAATGATGAAAAATTATGAAAAATGGTAAGGACATCATTTAGATAACAATTCTGAACAAAGAACCAACAATGTTGGTCATGGAAACAAGATAACACAAGAAATTTTTCCAGCAGAAGAATGTGTTTGATACCTGATATCAATACCTGATAAAGATGGAGATCTATCCTACATGAAAGATTATTTTAGTATTTTTGTATCTTTGATTACCTCCAATCTATCATCCCTGGAGAGTCAGATGTTTGACAGGGAACAGAACACTGATGTGAGATTAAAACTGACAATTACTGAGAGCACTAACGCCAAGGTATCTTTGAGAAAGTACGTCAATTTATTCCTGTTTCACCGCACAGGCTTGATCAATGCTCCACCCCAGCCACCCCAACACTAGCCCCCACAGAATAGGAAGATAACATCGGAGGTCAGCTCAACCATCCAGAAGGGATCAATTCACCTACGTCATTACTGTCACTCATTATTAAAACTATTTCAAAAACATAATGTCTCCACTCCGGGTATCTTCAAAAGAGCTGGCAACGGAGAAAAACCCTAGAATAATATGAACGTAGAAATGGGTCAGTAAAATATAATCACTCATAAAGTTACCAGGAAATCAAATTCCAGAATCAGGGCAGGAGGAGAGAACGAGAAAAAAGGACTGGAGGGATTATGACTTCACAATGAGTCAAACAACAAGGAGAGTGACGAAAGAAAGAGAAAACGGTTGTGGGGGATGGGGGGGAGCGGCTGAAATGCTATTCAGGCGGGCATCAAGGAAAGAGTTCATAGCACGTCCGAGGCTGAACAAGGTCGGTTCTGGGAAGAGATTCAGAATTCAGGAGGGGCTCAGCCGTTACTCCTTCCTCTCTCACACACACACCCTTGCCACCCACCGATAACCGGGATCCCTCCAGGGGGGAACCCTGGCCCGCTCCCTCCGACCCAGATTGTAATCCTGTGGGTTACCTGGTGGTTGATCCCCCAGCCCAACACGCCCAGGAGAGGGTCGGCGGAGCGGAGGATCTTCACCCGCTGCGGCACGAAATGCTTCTTCTTGGTCTTGGTGCGGGTCCCCGGCCCCACCGAGGCGGCCATGCCGGCGTCGCCGCTTGCCTCTCTTTTCTCCGAGCCTCGCTGCCGGCAACGGAAGGGACGATCAGCTGATTCTGCCCCCACGTGACATCAAGGGAGAGGAAGGGGCGCGGGAGGAGGAGGAGGAGGAGGCGGTGGCTTAAGGGAGAAGGCTAGAGCGGCCACCCGGAGATAACGTCCGACCTGAACTTCCGGTAGAGATTGGAACGCTCCCCTATGGAGACTTCGTCGTGCCTACCTGGCTGGTTACCTGCAACTTCCGTCATGCCTCACGGTTGTTGCATTGGCTAGGGTTGACGGGAGTAGAGATGGAAAATTTCCGAAAATATCCCTTTTTTTCCCCAGAAAAAAAGTTTTTATCCCTTTTTTTACTGGAAAATTTTATATTTCTAAAGAGAACTTAAATGCATAAGGTCTCAGAAGTCCTTCATTAAAATCTTCGTGTTACATAGTTGAATACCATGCCATAGACCTATTATTTGTCATTATAAAATAACATATACCACACTCCATATTTTTTCAATTTTTCTGGTAACGGAAAAAACTCTGCTTTGTTAAATCAATTTTTCCGTTTTTTCCCCCATGTGTTCCCATCTAGATGAGAGCCGCAGTCCAACGCAGTCTAGAGAGGCACATGTTGCTCATTCATGCCCTGAGAGTGAGCAAAGTGACAATCTAAGCCCATACCCTGTTTTCCCGAAAATACGCCCTAGTGTGATTTTTCACGCCCTGAGAGTGAGCAGAGTGACAGCCACTCTCAGCCCATACCCTGTTTCCCCGAAAATACGCCCTAGTGTGATTTTTCAGGATGCTCGTAATATAAACCCTACCTCAAAAGTAAGCCCTAGTTAAGTGAAACCCCGCCCTCCACTATTGTGCAGCAAACAGATTACATGGCTGTATCTGAATAAAGGTAGATTGTTGTACAGTACATGACTGTAGCGTTCATCCCTATTATGTTAAGTAGTCATGAATATTCATGTTGCAGGCTAATGTTGCTAAGACGCGGAGCTGAGAGATATGTAATAAAGAAGCGGAGTCAGAGAGTAATCAGAGTCAGTGAGTCAAGAGAGAGGGTGTGGAGAGGGACGGTCAGGCAAGGGGCACACGCCACAATGACAAAAACTAAAACATCCCATGAAAATAAGCCCTAATGTGTTTTTTTGGAGCAAAAATTAATATAAGTATTTTATGAATGGAAACATACTTTTTCCCTCTGTGTGCGGGGAATACCGTATGTGGGTTTCTAGATGGTGTTGGACTATAAGTCTTGTGATTTTCGCCTTGGGAACTGCCACTTAGCAGTAATGGGGGTTTCAGTCTTGATAGCTCAGTGGTTTAGGTAGAGGTTGGGAGTTCGATACCCCACTGTGTCTCCTGCGAGTAGAGCCAGCCTGTGCTTCCTTGGGCAAGCTGCACTCCCAGGACACCCGCAGAAGAAGGGATTGGTATACCACCTTTGAGTAATTCTTTACCAGAAAAGGGAGTAGAACCAGCCTGTGCTTCCTTGGGCAAGCTGCAGTCCCAGGACATCCGCAGAAGAAGGGATTGGTGTACCACCTTTGAGTAATTCTTTACCAGAAAACTCCTGGAAAATGTGGCCGTAAGTCAGAATGGACTTGACAACAACTTGATGATTATGGGAAATTAGAGGGAAGAGAGATAACTGAGCAGAAACCATGTCTGAATACTCCTTACCTAGAAAACCCTGGGAAAGATCACTGTAAGTTCGAATCAACTTAACGGCACAGTTATTATTAACAAAACACACAGAGAGACACATGCTAGCTTTTGATACAAACAAGTCTTCATCAGACTGGTTGACAATACATTTTGGATAGTGCAGAAAAAACACATGAAAGTTCCAGAAGTCATGGCAGAACCTTTTGACACAAGTCTTCATCAGGCTGGTTGACAATACATTTTGGATGGTGCAGAAAAACACATGAAAGATCCAGAAGTCATGGCAGATGTCTGTGCCAGGGCTGTTTCTTAAAAATTAGTTCCAACATGTCAATTTGACTGCAGTTGACTTCAGCTGGTGGGTAGAATACATTTTAAACCTAATTCTCTGAGGAGGTTTGCCACATTTCTGTGTAACCCTAATCTGCAGTCAAGAAGGAGCCTTGAGTTTCAAAATAAGGGGATGGGGAGAGGGGCAGGGAAGTGCTGAATACCTGGCAATCCTCTGTTTGGTGAGCTGGGAGAGAGAATCCAACCAACCAATAGCCACCAGGGTGAAATTTGAAACCTACGCTCCTGACTTGTGTTTACAGCCTGCATTTTAGAACTCAGTTTTAAGAAACAGCCCTGGCACGGATGACTGTCATGATTTCAAGAACTTTCATATGCTTTTTCTGCACTATCCCCAATGCAGGCATGCCCAGCCTGACAAAGACTTGTATGTTGAAAGCTAGCAGTGTATTTTTTTTAAGTAGTCCACTAAAGGTACAGCCTACCCTTGCCATTGGATTGTGTAAGGATTAAACTCCCCCCCCCACTTTTTTTTCTGGCCAGAAGTGCTGTCTTTCTTGGAGAGTATATCCCCCCCACACTTTTTTTTCTGACCAGAAGTGCTGTCTTTCTTGGAGAGTATAAAGATGTTCATCTTCCCCAATCCCTCCACCTCTACAATAGCTGCAGATCAACTTGACAAGGTGGAGGACTGAAAATTTGTATCTTCATGATAGTGCATAAAAATGCAACATGTGAACAGGGGACGAGATGTACCAATGTACTTGTAAATAATTTTCCTAGAGCAGCCTCACTGTTTTCACTGCCACAAGCAGTAAGGATGATTGTGTATTTTATCTGTTTGTGTCTCCATTCAGCGCAGAAGAAGTATTCTTTTTAATAAGATCTTGTAGGTGTCTGTTTTTCTCTCCATCTTACAGTAATTGGGTATTTGGCTAAACCACCTGAACACAATTTTTTGTAACATGATGATCAGATTCATGAACTTAAAACATCTGTATAACAAAAGTGAAACAAAACTACTATAGTATCTTAAAGACTAGCAGATTTATTTCCACATGAGCTTTTCTAGATTACAATCTATGAGTGATAACGCTACCTTTAAAAACATTTCTGTGAAAGCTGATACATACATACTGGTGTACCTGAGGGAAACCCTGATGTGTCTAAGGTCTAGAACTATTCTAAAAGTGATGATGATCTAAAGATTCTGCTTTGGTTTGGATTCCTGCACTGAACAGGGGGTTGAACTTGATAGTTTTATCAAGTTTTCCAACTGAATTATTCTATGATGTGTCACTTTAAGGAATCTGCTATGTTTAGTAACAGCTATTCAACAACCCAAGCTTCATTATAGCGCTGACCATAGCTGAAAAACACTACCACCACCAGATATCTGCTTACTTAGCTGTTGAAAACACCACCTATTTAAAAGAAGTGATGCAGGACATATACTTACCTTCTGGATAAGTTTTGGCAGCTTTTCAGTCATTCACTCCAGCACAAATGTTGAGATAATATAGCAGTTTGCCTTATCTCCTACTTTATGTGTATTAATCTGTTCCAGATGCAAAAGCAGACCAGGCTGTATATATGTGTTATTTTCCTGCTGACTTGGTAATCCCTGTTAGGTATAAATATGCCATGTGAAACCGTGGCCCATGGCAGGTGTGGCAGGAGACAAGTGTATTCTGTTGCACAGTCCAACTGATATTTAGCACTGGCACTGCATATCAGCAAGGCTTTCACTGTTGCAGAACCCAAGTTTAGTCAAGGAAGGGCCACAAAGCCTTAAAGGAGATGTAACTTTTAAAAAATCTTTATTGGCCTCCTTCCACTGCATCCAACATTTGAGACATTTGATTGTGAGCAAAAAATTTTTAACAAAAAAGATTCCAAAGAAACTTTATTTTTTAAAAAAAAAATGTGAGACAAATCTGACGTATGGGGAATAAGATAGCCATCTCTGCTTTCAGTCAAAAGGAGGTGATTTGGAGCATACCACAACTCCCTGCAAATATTAAATATTGTATAAAAGGCTTAGTTACTAACATTTCAAGTGCATTCAGCCATTTGTAACCTTGGTGTGCAAACAGTCTACTACCAACAATGCAGTTTTCTTCCCCGAACTGTGTGGACAACGTAAGTGTTGTTAATGCAGATATTTCTCAAGTTCTGCAGACTCAGCAAAATGTTTCACATTCTTTGAGTGTCTGGCATCTTTTCTGCCTTTCATCATGTATTACAGAACTCAGAAGCTTGAACATTCCTACAGCAACCCAAGTTCCCAAAGGAAGATAGTGTGCTACATTCCATGTATCCTGTATCTTTTTTTCCGAACTCTGCAGCCACACCTAGTATTGAACTGGCATTTTTACGCACAACAGATCATTGTTCTTATTCCCCTTGCCATTTATATTGTACATTTTTAATTGACTCAATAACAAACAGAGCACCAAGTTGTTATTTTTTAAACATATTTGTTCATTTATTTTTTTTTAAATAAACTTTTGAATATTTTGACATGCAACATTTGGCGTGATCCGAACAGACAGGGCTAAAGTGTCAGGGTGTATCAGTGGCTTCAGTGAGACAGCCACACAGGGTTACTGCTGCTAAAAAGTTTGACAGCAAACTCCCCCATTCCTGAAAACAAGGGCTGCCATTTCCCCTCTCCCGCAACCCTGTCTGCTCTGTGTGACTTGGAAGGAGTGACATTAATTGAAGATGTGCAGTGGATTCACTGTTCCCCTTAGAGATAGACATAGAAACACAGACTAAAGGCCAGTGACCCAGCTATCAAGAGATGCAAAAGAAGGAACAAACAAGAATGTGTTGATAGCAGCCTCTTTTTGTCACATTTCACACAACTATGGCCTTCCAATTTTGTTTTTCGCCTACAGCTCCCATCAATCCATTCAGTCCCAAGGACTTATGGGAACTGTAGTTTTAGAACTCCTGGAGGGCCACAGTTCCTCAGACCTACACTAGCTGGCCCTCCTGAATGTGCAGCAGTTGCAATTGGCTGGGACACCTGACTTAGAGAACTGACAACCAAAATCCCCATCCTACTTTAAACCTACCCAAACAGTCCCGTGTCCTTCTTTATGCAAAGAAAGGGAGCACCTAGGTTACTCATACTTTGTTGGCTGCCTACTCTTCTCTTACACATCTCATACTTTTCTGGATCATCTCTGACCATCAGCTTCACAAAGAACAGGCAGCATCCCTCTTGCTATTTTACAGATGGAGAGGGTGGTGGAGAGTGAGTACTCCCAGGTTCAAAAACACGCAAACAAGAAATCACCGCTTTCTGCAGAACAGCTATTTTCTTGCCATTTTTCAAGTGTCACAGTGACCCTATCTTTCTAAGTAGATTCAGAGAAAGTGGCAAATTCTGTGTCCAAATATTGTCAAGGCTCAAGCAGAAGGTAAAGCTTGTAACTCATGTTTTACACCTTTCAAGGAAGATTTTAGAGTGATGAGAAATGAGTGTTGGAAGTTCCAAGCTCCCTCCCCTTCCCCTACCCCCAATTCCTTCAGCAGATGGGCAAGCAATTTCAGGCTACCTCCACTAGCAGCCTGGAGAAGCTCACCTCTGACAGAGCCTGGCCAACACAAGGAGTTCTGCTATGGGCCAGCTAGAGCTAATACAATACAAAGGAATGCCTTCTGTCTCTTCCCTTGGACGAGAGTCTGTTCCCATAAGAGGATGCATCTACATCTCGGTTCTTCAGTGGCAACCAGTCCCTTAAGGCAACTGAGGCAGAAAAACAGGAGAGCAGGGGAACTTACCCCCTGGACTAAGGAGCACGAAGGGCCCCGAGGAAATAAGTGAGTATACTATTGTCTAGTGAAAGTGAGTAGGACAGAGAAACAGTGAGAGAGTGAAGCAGCAGCTGGATAAATATACAGGACACAGAGAGAGCAGGACACATAAACAGGGCCCATTTGTAGCAGAGGCCATGGAAAGCCGGGCTGCGGCATGCAGTGTTGAGGCTTCCGTCCCAATTAGAAACTAAGAGAAAAAGAGAAAAGAAGAGGGAGGGGAGAAGAACAGGTAGGAATGGTCTCAGGAAAGCAGACTCCTATCCCAACAGGTTTCTCAAGATGGTTAAAAAGATGTACTGTTAGCTCCGACTGCAGGCCCACTTAGTCCACAGCTGTGAAACCATTGGTCTTCCAGGTGTTCTCCCATTAATTCCACCCATCAGGGCCAGGGGTAAAAAAAGAAAAGAAAGGCGTATCTGATCCAAAACATTCTGAAATTTACTTTCTGCCCACCCTGCCTCCAGTGTGCTTCTGACACTACAATAATTTAAATTACTGGCCCAAATAGTATTCGGTCACTCCTTCCATGGGTAGGCTCACCCACACTCAGAGGAGAACACCCAGCCTGTCCTTGCTCCATTATTGTTGCTTTCTACACATGGCATGGGAAACAACTGCAATGAAGACCTTCCTCCTTCACATGTGAGCAAGAATCCCAAGAACTGGGAGTTCTTCCTTGCATGTAAGGTCTATACACTTTGACGGCAGACATGTTGCTTTTCACATGGAGAAAGTGACAACAGAAGGGAGAAGAGCTAGGATCTCTCTAAGAACGGGGCATGTATCCAACAGTACAGTATTTCTAATGGTATCACGATTCCCTCCACACCCTGGGCAACATCCTAAAGAGCAATCCGAATGTCCCCAGTGTCATGCCAGCTGTGTTGTCACTTCCTGGAGAAGGGGATGGGATTCCAAGGTTGATGAGGAATTCTCACATGTCTTTGTAATACAGGGAGAGATATACATGTTTGTGAGGCATTTGTAAAGAGATGCCTTAGTAGCTCAACGATGGGTTGGAGAAGACAAGTGGTTAATGTTCTTCCAAAATGTTGATGAGAACTACAGGCATTCTGTGCTTTTAACAGAATATCCAGAGAACTCAATCAGTTTTGCTCCCTGTATAAATTGATCGTTCTGCATATATTTCATCTGCTTCACCTCCTTTTACTTTTCATTGAGGAGAGCGAGCAAGCAAAAAGCTCTGCAGAGCACTGAGACTGGCAACCTGAATCCTAGAAATTCTGTTGAACACTTCAGACTAGGAAGGAGCGCAAGAAAAGCCCTGATGGGTTAGATCAAAAGCCTATCTGTGTACTGTACTGCCAAGAGTTTCTGCAGTGGCCAATCATATGCCCCAAAGGGAAGCCCAGAGGTGGTGCTTGGGGGCAGTAGCCCACATCCCCTGTTGCTCCCCAGCAACTACTTATTCAGTGGGATACTGCCACCCCCCCCCCAGAAGTTCTATCCTATCCATCATGGCTAACAGTGACTGATATAGCTTCACCCTACTGAATCCTTTCCTATACATCTCATGAGCTCCTCCAGGAAAGAATATTGCTTTTATATCCAATTTTTAGTGAAAACTGAGATTGCCAGGATGCTAGATTCTTGAACCAGTACCAAACTCTCTCTTTCAGGTAAGAGGCAGGGATTAGCGATGGGAATTTTGTATGTTTTGATCAACAACACCCAGAGGTCTGTTGGCATTGTCCCAGCTAGCTTACTGGGGTGTTTAGCCCCCTCCCAAAAAGCCCTCTCAGGTGTCTTATATGATTTAACCCAGTGCATAAATAAGGGGGGACCCTCAATTTCTGAGTTCCAAGGCAGAAGAACTGGCTGGACAGCACTAAGCTCTGTGAGGATTTTTTCCCCATTTATGCACCAGCTATAAGTTATATCAAACACCTGATAGGGCTTTTTGTTGGGGGAAATAAAGCCCCCAGAATTCTAACGGAGGCAATTCCAGCAGATTTCTGGTGCTGTTGTTCAAATATATATTTGCCATAGAATACATACATTCTTTTTTGTGATTCTGTCCATATCTGACAGGAGTCTGTTCCTTGAAATATGCTCAGTTAAAAAACAGTTAACATAAGGGTATCTGGTGAGTTTGGAGAGAAAGACAGAGGGAGCTGAAAGACTGCTAATGTCCTAACAAAGATGGTTAGTTGACGTGGAGAGCAGAGGAAGGGCTGTACCTGATGGTGTATTGAGGCCCCCTGGGTAGCTGGTGGCGCTGTTGCTATTAGCTGGCTGCCGTCTCCTGATGAAGAGGGAAGAGTGTGGCTTGTTCATCTGCTTCAACACTGCAGGGCATGTCACTTCTACAGGAGAAGAAAAGTTATGTCCTTTCTAAGGATCCAACCACTCTGAACGGCCAAGGAAACTTATTTTATTCAGTAAACAGAGCATCTCTCTCTATAGAGCCCTTTTCTGTGGCTTCTCACCTGTTATCGTTGATATCTGTGGCATTTCCTGTATATCAGCCCAGGTGAACATGGAAAGATCAAAACAGCAGCATTAGGGTTCAGATAAGTATTAATCTCGGTCAGATAAAACTTGCCCCCCCCATATGCAAAGTTCAGCCCTTGCTATATAAAGTTAAGACACCCATGAAAACAGACATGCACCCTACCAGCACGCTCCACACAGTCTGGGTACTGCCAAAGAGCAAGGGCGTGCAGCCCTCCAGATATTCATGGATTACAACTCCCATCATTACCGACCACCAACTATGCTGACTGAAGGCCTCAGGGAGTTAGCAGCCAGGAGGGTCACAAGTTCCCACCTCCTGCAGCATCATCTTACTCTAAAACAATTTCAGACAGGTGGACCTTCCCTTAGCCAGTTTCCCTGCTTAGGCTTTGGCTTCCATCTCTCCCACCACTGGCTTTATTTTGAAGAGCAGGCCTGCCTCTCACTGCAAGTTTCTAAACTAGGAGGAAATCCAGGGGCGTGTGGAAGAGGAGAGATTCAGAATAGAGATGGGCAGGAACCATTGGTTTGGTATGGTTTGTTTCCCAGCTGAACAGCTGATCTGTGGTTCGGCGCCCTGCCCCCTCCAGCAGGCACCCATTCAGCAGTAGTACCCCCACCTTGCTTCCTCTAGGCACTGCTGCTGAATGGGTGCAGAAGGGGCAGGGTGCAAAACCATGGATCAGCTGTTTGGCTGAGAAACGAACCACAGCGAATTGCTGAACCAGCGGTTCATGCCCATCTCTAGTTCTTAATAATACATCCCATGCTTGTTCTAAAGAAAAGGCCCTTTTTAATGTGTTATCTGGCTGAACGTATAACCCTGCCATCCCCCAGCTTGCCTTACCATTATCCACACTGAGCTTCTGATAGGACAGTGGGGCATTGGAGGAGCTGCTTCCGCTGCTAGAAGAGGCATTAGTGAAGCTGGGTAAGTGGAAACAAAAAGGTGAAACATGAGGGAGGAATGCTGGCTTAGCGGAATGTTGGCTTATTTTGAAAGCTGAATAATGGCTTATGTAGCACTGTTCCTTGCATAATTCTGTTGTAAACTGCCCAGAGTGAGTTTCCATGGCTGAGCAGGGATTCAAACCCATGCCTCCTGAGTCCTAGTCCATCATTCTTATCTGCTACACCACACTGGGTATCTCATACAAATTCATTATTTTTACACATTTTTGCACAGACATGTGCAAAAATAATGAATTTGTATGCCCAAGAAGTGTGTTATTATAAGATTCATGTGGAGGGTGGGGTCATGGGGTGCATCTTCTCATAAAATTATGAGAATGGGTGATGCCAATCATTATACCACCATAAACAAATCAAATCCCACCTGATTTCAAAAGCAAGCTGGGTCAAGCTACGTAACAAAATTCTGTTTAAAATTCTGGAAAGTCACTGCCAGTCAATGTTGACAATTACCAAGTGAGATGGGCCACTGGTCAAAATCAGTATAAAGCAGTTTCCAGCATCCTACAAAATGTTCCGTTTCCGAATCGGCCAGAATAGCACGCGACTCTCCTTCCTCATTTTTTTGTCTCTGTCTGAAGCGATTATAGCAGCCATATTTCTGCATTTCAACATTTGACACCATGCTCTGTTCTCTGGTGCATTTGAGCATGTCGCGATCACCTGAGAAACTGTGTGTTTCTTGAGATCAAAAGTGAATATACCTTAAGAAAACATGTTTACAAGGAAGGTTGAGCCATCAGCTTTTGAAACATATAGTATGGTAGCCTCTTACCCAACTGAAAAACCTCCAGATAAACTAGTATGAATACTTCCATGCATGGTAATAGGAAGTGGGCCTTACACTTTCTCACTCATAAAAGGTGTTCGAAATTCCCAACTCTGGATGCACCAAAGTTTTTGGCTCTTGGCCTAATCTTAGTAGGCAACCACTACTAGGGAGCCAGAGTTTCTGGTCTGGCCAGTGTGGGAAATGAAGAATCTGGGTTAGAATTTTGTATCCTGTTAGGAAAGGAGTGATATAACAGGGGTTCTTGTTTGTAGGGGCGGGGGGAGTCCTTCAGACCCTATGCTTCCCTACCCATTTATCCTCAGAAAGTGGCTAGGAAAGTCCCAACAAGATGGCCCTAATTAAGTCAAAGAGAAGAGTTTTTGGCTCATGAAGGCTACTCACTAGCTGTCAGGCACCGTGCTGCCACAATTTTGCAGGTAGACATTCTGATAGTTCTGGAAGAGGCTGTTGGTGTAGCTGATGCAGTCAGAGTTGCGGACACCGTAGGGGTTGGTGGGAGAAGAGGCTGGGTAGTGTCCTGGCCGCACTGGCTTAGCTATGAAAGGACACAATTGACATGAGTCATAGAATATATCAATTCATTTGTTTGTTTGGAACATATTATGAGTCCACTGATCCCAGGGATGGGGAAGCCATTAGCCCTCCAGATATTCTAGACTTTAGCTTCCAGAAACTCCAACCAGCCTAAGCCAAGAGAAAAGGATTCTGGGAGGTGTAGTCCAAAACATCTGGCACACCAAAAGTGGCCCAAGACATCAGGAAAGTTCACACATCTATGAGTCATGAGGAGAAGTAATGTGGTTTACAGAAAACCGGTGATGGTACTTTGGACTTAATGATAACCAATGATTTTGTATATATGAATAGACTTATTGTGTCTGATTGTGGCCAAAATTCTATTGGCATAACATGCCAAGGATAGTCATGGTCAGTTGAAGAGATGCTGGGGCCCATCTGAGTCACATGCCTGGTGATGCACAGTTGCACAACCAAAATGTACCCTGGCACCATGTCAATAAGCAGCAGCAAATTATGCAGACTTCACACAGACACCAATAGGATTCTGGCCCATATGTAATTATTTTCATAGGTGCCTACTGGTATGTTTTTATAAAGGTGGATTATGGCTTAACAGAATTACAGTATTAGTGATTTATCTGTGAAGATTGTCAATCATCCAGGTGAGGTTAGCTGGAAGTTGAGTCATGGCAACAGGACTTCTTTCTTGTTAGGTTGAAATGTTTCACTTACTCATCCAAGCTGCTTCTTGAATAGGCTCAACCCTATTCTGATCAGAGGGAAGTGAAACCAACCTGGAGGACATATCAGGGATCTCCTACCAACTCTCCTCAGAAGCTACTTGGACGAGTAGCGAAACATTTCACCCTAATAAGGAAGAAAGCCAGTTGTCATGACTCACCTTCCAAATTATACTTGTAGTGATTATGTGAACTAGCTTTATATAGGTGTTTCCTTCAAATTTTACTCTCCCCTTCGAATTACCTAGTGTACTTTTTATGCTGAATTTGGGTGGTCTTCAAACAGAGCTTACACTTTCATGGGGCCAAATTCAGCACATTATACTGTACAAACCCTCAGTTATATGCACATAAAAATACTTTCAAATGTATGTGAATAAAACAGAACAGATATCTTAGCATATTTATACAACATGGAGAAGGAGAGAATTAACTCAAGCTCCTATCCTACTTTTACTTATTAGGGCAAAGAAGGGGACCTTTGACCTTCTAGAATTTGTGGGGGCAGGCTACACTTCCCATAATCCCTTTCTCATACTAGCTGTAGCTTCTGGGAGCAGCAGTCTAAAACGTCTGAAATGCCACAGGTTCCTTCCCACGTTCTTAGTAAGTTAAGTCCTGTTGAATGAGGCTTACTTCCCAGTCAACATGCATAGGACTTCCAAGGGAGTCTCTGTGATCCTTGCTGTTCCCACCCTTAAAGTGGCTTGCTCACCGATCTGCGCAGAGTGGTTGCGCTTCATGCTGTTCTTGTAGCGCACTGCCTCCTTGATGCGGTCCACCTCCTGCTGGTAGCGGCGTTTGTCTTTCATGGCACCCTCCTTAGCCTCCTTCAGTGCACCCTCCAGGGCCTTAACTCTCTCAGCCGTAGCCCGAAGACGTTTTTCCAGTTTAGGAAGCTCACAACGCAGATCTGCATTGTCACGAACCAACTGGGCCCCATCGCGACAGAGGGAAGGAAAAGAGAAAAATAGGAGTGGCAAAGAAAGCAACATGGACAAGGCTCTTCCCCAAGATCTGAAACACTGGCTCTTGCCTTCCTCCAAGGTACTGTATCCTTCCTCTCCTCAGTCTTCGGCTTCATGGCATTCTGCTCTCTTCCCTCCCCCTCTCAAAAACAGCACTGCACTCCACTTTTGCCCTTTCTGACTCCATATCAGAAGACTCACATCTTATAGCAACTGTTCCAAACTCCATCCTCCAGATGTGTTGGGTTACCATTGATAACACCTCTAGTCAGCATAGTTATTCGCCAGCACATCTGGAGATTGCTAGGATAGATGAGGCTCCTATAGTGATGTGCCCTCCCACCCCCAGATGAAAAAGTCATAGCTGTTCCCATCCTCTTACATTGTGCTTGATGTAGAAATGACATGATCTGCTCTTAAAACTCAGGGAAAGCCTCCATGTTCCTTCACAATGTCCCTAATCCTTGACCAATAAATCAGGGTCTGTTTGATAATATTGTTTTCACTGGTGGCCCTGAGATGGCCAGATTGAAGAGTTAAGAGAGCTCTTTTAAATGCAAACGACTTTTCTAATAACGTAGTTCTGCCACCAATGCAGGACTCTGATGTCTGGAATAAGATGGTGGGGAACACCCTGCCCCAATCAAAATCTTCACTGTTGTGCATCCCTTCGAGCAGGCATGAAGAACATCGAGCCCTCCAGATATTGCTAGATTATAGCTCCCATTATCCCTTGCTTCTGGTTTGGGCTGCCGGGGGCTACAGTCCAACATCATCTGGATGGCTGCCACACATTTGCCCCCCCCACCTTCTACCCAAAACACAGGAGCTTAGATTGTTTCTTCAAGCTCCTGCCCATTCCAAGTGGCACCCAACCCTCGCTTCCGCTGAATGGCTGGGCTCCGGTCTGTCCCCCGTCATTGCCACAGATCCAAGCCGTGCAGCATGCTGTAGGATCCTGTGAAGTGCACACTGAGGAGATGAAGGGTGAGAATCTCCTTCCAGGCTAAAGCAATCCCTTAGGGCTCATCAACACACAGGCTCCAATCTACAGGCATGTAAGTGGGTAAGCAGCATGCAATGGTGGCACCACAGTGGCATGAGGTGAGCAAGCAGCATGGGGGGGGGAGCCATCACCAGCACCAGATAAATAAGCAGGAGAGCCCCTGGACACCACAGGCTCAAAGGGAGGGGGAGAAAATGTTTGAGATGATGTTTGACTCCCACATCCAGAAACTGACACTGGGGAGAGCAGGGACCTGGAAAGGGGTCATCTATCATGCACAATGGGCTGGAGATTTAAGTCATGCCTCTCCAAATAACTGTAAAACCTCTGTCTATGAGATTATACATAGTCAAAGATTAGCAGTTTCCAATTTTTCCCCTTAATGCCCAACAACTTCTGAAGTGGACAAGAAACCATTGCTGTTGAGAATTTATCAAGAAGGCAGCTTGGCTTTCTTTAACTCTTTATTTCCCTCATGGCACCTGCCAGGCAAGCCGAATTTGGTCAGGGTTGTCATGGCAGCACACTCTCCCGCTCCCATAAAAGCCAGAAATGCATGTAAAATGTCTCAGTACAGGGTCTTTGTGTCACTTAAAACACCCCGTTGGAGTTGTCTTGCTAGCCGAGTAGGTATTGGAGATTATCACAAGACTCAACATAGATAGGGTTGCTATGGAGGTGGAACAATGAGGAGAAAACAAACACCTGAGCCTTCCTTCTCCCTTTCCACAAAAAACACAAAAAAACTATGCTTCCAGTTTGGTCACCAAGTGCAAACATTTCCTGCCCAGCCCAGCAGGCAGGTGAATAGGTGGGAGAGGCCATACGGTACCTTGGAGACCCAGCGATCCAACTAGGGTGCAGCAGCAATGGGAAAAGGGGGACATAGACAGCGACTGAGCATACCCACAGAGTCCCCAGCCAAACCCTGCTCTGGAAACCTAGCAAGGGACACATTATACCCCAGGGACAAAGTGTACCTCTGTCAGTATGTACATGGAACAGTTCCCTTTTCCTTCCTTTCTGGGGCTGAAACCCCAGGAATTCCCTTCTTTGGGGCTGAACCATGGGGCAGGACACATGCAGTACCATGCTAAGCAGAAAAAATTTCTGGTGGGGTGGGAATAAGGTTTGAAGAGGGATTGTGGAAGAAGGAATTGTGTGAGAAGATGGACAAGCAAACATACCAGGGGAAGCCCGGAGTGGCAAACAAGGAAGAAGTGCAAGGAATGGACACAGCAAATGTCAAGCCAGCATTCGCTCTGGGTCTTAAACTTTTACTTTCCCACTCACTACGAGGATCCCTTCCTGCTTTGCCACCTTCCCTGGAGTATACCTAGGACAGTATAAGAGGCATCAACCTCATAATGAACGCCTGCCCCTCCTGATTATTACCCACTTCCCCTTCTCTCCTTTTCAAGCCATTATAACTGGATTCAGCACCTGGAGTCCACTTACTCCTTTCTATCCAGGTGCAAAATTCACGCAAACTGCATATAGAAATAAATCTGGCACATTCAACTGAAATTGCCCACTGCAGGGGGTGGGGTAGGTAGGTGGGGGGCAGAACAGCAGCAGAAGGTTGTGTGCTTGGGTGATCACATGCCTAAAAAAAGATGTAGACATTATTTCAGCCGGGTTAGCACAAGTGAGTCACTCTGATCTAGATCAGCCATTCTCAACCTTTTTTTTCTCTTTGGCCATGGCCATAAACAATATGAAAGAAATATGGGTCAAATTAGGATTAGATCCTTCACACAACAAACCTCATGAGGTGGTGTCTGAATTTTTTTCAGTGTGTGGCCCCTTTCAAATGTGTCAGGGGCCCCCCAGAGGCCCCAGTTGAGAATGACTGATCTAGACAGTAGATAGGCCCCTGTTGAGAATGACTGATCTAGACAGTAGATGAGGGGGTTTGACCTGTAGTGTTTAACATATCATGCAGTATTAAGGTAATGGTGAGTTTACCACTGAGCAGAACTGAGCAAGGAGGAGACAATATCTAATCTGTTCATTGGAAGGGGATATCATTACTCGGGGGAGCCAATGCTTTGCCATGTCAAAAGCTCCAGCTTAGATCTTCAGCATTGTAAAAGGAGCAAGGACAGAGTGAAAGGACAGACCCGTCTCTTCAAGATCATCTGGAGAACTACTGACCAACAGAGCATAAGGGAGGGCAACTAAGTATCCTGTAGATATATTGGACCGCAATTCCCAACAGCCCTCACCAGCATGGCCTACGGTAGGGAATTACAGTCCAAACATTGTGGTTTCGTCTAAATCACTGCCTGGAAAAGAAGGAGGTAAGGGTGGGGGTTTCCACCGAGAGTGGCCAAGAGTAAGAGGTTACAAGGGTGGTGATCCAAATATTTATAAGGCTGAGAGTTCCCATTCCTGCTGTAACGAACTGCATGATATAGAAGGCTCAATACAGTGGTGCCTCGCTTAACAAGCTGCATGATACAGAAGGCTCAATACTCAAGATTGATTTCTGTCTCCTCACCAAATAAATACCTATCCAAAGTTTCATGCCCCAAAGCTTCTCACATATTAAAATAGGGACACAGCTGAGTACCTATCATAAATATATCATATTTTTCCATGTATAAGACATGCCATGTACAAGATGCCCCCCCCCCATTTTTCGGACCCAAAATTTCTTTCAGAAGGCTCAATACTCAAGATTGATTTCTGTCTCCTCACCAAATAAATACCTATCCAAAGTTTCATGCCCCAAAGCTTCTCACATATTAAAATAGGGACACAGCTGAGTACCTATCATAAATATATCATATTTTTCCATGTATAAGACATGCCATGTACAAGATGCCCCCCCCCCATTTTTCGGACCCAAAATTTCTTTCTTTGCAAGAAAGTGATTCCTGCTTTCCCCTTACATTTTCGTTGCAAAAAGCAGCCTTCTCCTTCCACATTTTGCAAAGAAAGTGGAAGGGGAAAGCAGAAATCACTCCCCCCCCTTTTCTTTGCAAAATGTGGAGGGGGAAAGCTGATTTTTGCAACTAAAATGTAGGAGGAAAGCAGGAATCACTTTCCCCCTCCATTTTCTTTACAAAACACAGAGGGGAAAGCTGCCTTTTGCAACGAAAATAGAGGGGGAAAGCAGGAATCGCGTTCCCCCTCCATTTTCTTTGCAAAATGTGGAGGGGGATTGATTTCTGTCTCCTCACTAAATAAATACCTATCCAAAGTTTCGTGCCCCAGAGCTCCTCACATATTAAAATAGGGACACAGCTGAGTACCTATCACAAATATATCATATTTTTCCGTGTATAAGACATGCCATGTACAAGATGCCCCCCGCATTTTTCGAACCCAAAATTTCTTTCTTTGCAAGAAAGTGATTCCTGCTTTCCCCTTACATTTTCGTTGCAAAAAGCAGCCTTCTCCTTCCACATTTTGCAAAGAAAGTGGAAGGGGAAAGCAGAAATCTCTCCCCCCACTTTTCTTTGCAAAATGTGGAGGGGGGAAAGCTGATTTTTGCAACTAAAATGTAGGAGGAAAGCAGGAATCACTTTCCCCCTCCATTTTCTTTGCAAAACATGGAGGGGAAAGCTGCTTTTTGCAATGAAAATAGAGGGGGAAAGCACTTTGATCCCCCCCTTCCCTCCTTACTTCCGAGTATAAAATGACCCTAAATTTTTCCTTTAATTATTTTAGGAAAAAGTGTTGTTTTATACACGGAAAAATACAGCATATGTTCTGGCTGCAAATAAAAATTGTCTGATGCCTACCTGATGGCTGCATAAGATTGGCCTCACTGTGTTTTCATGCATTTTTCAACAGTCTTCCTTCATTTTTCAGCTTAGCATAACTCTTAACGTTTCCAAAAATCAAGAAGATGTTTTCTTAAATCTCACAGTACATCTGGTTGTACTTACAGTACTGGGCTGGTTTTCAAAAATTATTTGAAAAACTAAAATTATTATTTTTTAAAAAACCACTATATCCTGATGGGTTTTTAATCATTTAAACCAGTTTTATATTTTTGTTTTATATTTTATTTATACATCTAAACCGACTTAGGAAGGCTTTGCCCCAAGAGATGACATTAACACCTATATATCCAAAAACACAGACTTCCCTAAATAAATAGGAAGAGTTGCTTTACACCACATTCCTGACCTGTACCAATATTTTAAAAGCTCTTGCTTTCTCCCATGTGGTCATTCCCATAGTTATTCTCTTTTCTCCTATTTTCCTATAGTTTTGTCTACAACAGCTGCTGGAGTCCACTATGTTTTCCATAAAGCTGACACTCAAATGCCTACAATCACTTTAAACTGTATCCAGTCATTCTAATTAATTGCCAGGAAATTCATGTCATATTCTTCTAAAACATATTCAGCTATGTAGTCATGATGTTAAGAAATACCCTGTTTCTGAAAGGGCTATGTTAAATTGAAGCAAAGGGGTTGGGGGTTTGCAAGAGACTTTTTAAAAAGAGTCTCAGGAATGGAAGAGTGCCCTTGTTATCACTGGCTTGGCTCACATTGGGAAAGAAATCATTATTAGTAACATTGCTAACTAGGTGTTGCTGCTGATCACACGGGAGACAAGGGGCAAGAATGAACATAGGAAGATACCTTTCTTCATCACTGCCACATCACAGCACTGGTCCATCAAGTCTAGTATTGTAAGCACTGGCTGCCAACAGGTCTCCGGGATTTCAGGCAGATTTTTTTCCCCTAGCTCAATGGGGAGACACCTGGAATTGAACCTGGGACCTTCTGTATGCAAAGGGGGCAGGTGCTCTACCACGGAGCTATGTATCTCCCAAGAAACCCAGTATGTTCCTCCAGTCACCCAACCAGATTATTGCCGATGGTAACCATAGTGGGTGGAGGTGGTGCCTAAATTTGGCTCAGAATCTCCTACTGCCTCTGTAGCAGATCAGGGCGGTACTCATGCTGCCCCCAGCAGCGCCATCATCAAGTTGCTCACAGGTCTACAGAGTTTCTTGGTTTGTAATTTTTTTTCCATGTTGTCAAGGGGAGGTTTCCAGGATCAGATACAGAATTCACACTCAACCCCCTGTGTGGGGTTAACCACTTTGTGTATAATTCTGAGGTCTTGGAGGAAGCAGGGAATGAAATGTAACAAGCGGGGCCATCCCTACTATTAGGCAGAGTGAGATGACTTCCTTAGACAGCAGATTTGATGGAGTGGGATAGAAAAAAAGGAAGCATATGGTACTGATTTGAAACACTGTCACATTTTTTAGTGCCAAGGAGAGGCAATAAAAACTCATGGAATTTTCTGTCTCAGGTACTGAAATAACTTATCTGGTCTTTGGTATGATACATCTGAATTTAGGGAAGTGGGAGTCCCTGCTGCTCAGCTTCAGTTAGCAAAATGTATCGGGCCAACCCATAAATAAGCCACATGGTGGGTTGGCATGCCTGCATGGCAACACATCTGTATACATCCAAATTTAAATTTTGAACAAGTTCTAAGCCTCCTACCCTGAGACTCAGCAAAGTTCAGTGGGGGATCTAAATGATCTTTCCAAGTTGATTCGTGCACTATACATTTCCTTGCTCCTTTGACTCCACCATCAAAAGTGATACCTGAACCATGGGCAATCGTGATTTCTGTGACTAACGATGACTAATTAGAGTGTGTGTCATGTGAATGCCAGAAACATAGAAAGGTAATGCTGCCAGTCATAAAGGGAACTGGCATAAAGCCCCTGGGTGTGGATTCCTTCACTATTTGTATTTTGGATAATAAAGATTAGGAACAAACAATGTTTGGTTTATTTTTGTATTTTAACCCAAGGTGTTTTTCTACTTGATCACTTCTCATGTAGAGAATTTCTCTGCCTTATACTCAAGTTGAGATGGGAAATTACAATTCCCATCATCCTTTACTATTGGCTATGCTGGCCATGGTCACTGGGAGCTGTAAGCTAAAGTCATTTGGAAGACCACTGTTGCCCATCCCAATCTAGCAACAGAATGGTATAATGGTCATATGTCGGTGATCAATAAAAGCTCACAGGAATGGCTCACAAGCCATTACCACAGACTAAAGCATCATCCTTTGCCTAAGTGCTGAGACTCCAGAGAGACTGCTTGGCAGATGTTTAGCAATGGCACAGTGAGATGAGCAGAACATTGCTGGCTGGCAGAAGCAGCAGACAACGTAGTATAAACAAAGAATTAATGATGGTTTCAGGAGCAGTATGGGATCTATCACTTTGGCTGACTCCATTTTGATGCAAGGACAGGTAGAGAAGATCTAAGCAAACACCATGATCAAATGTGCTGGTGTAAACGGAGTTTGATTCACAAAGGAGGCAGCAACTGAGACCAGCCTGTGCAATATACCCAGCAAAGATAAACACTTGAATCACCCTGGCACACTATATGAAATGCCTGTACTGTGTGATGTTTGGTGCCAGGATGATTGTAGGTGGGTGGCTATAAATGGGATGAAATTCTAGGTGATTATTTCGAGCAAAGAAGGCAACGCCAACAAACAAACATCCAAAGCCATTGTGATACACGGAGACAGTGCACAATGGGGTGGGTGGGGGCGGGGAGTCAGTGTCCCACCCAAAGGACTGAGCGTGAAGTAAGAGGGCAGGGCTGAACTCACCATCTGCTTTCCCCAGCCCATATGCTGCTCACCCACCACTTGCCCCTCAGTGTCTTTCTCCGGCTCTCAACACCTCTGCTCACCTGTTTGTGAACTTTTGTAAGTTGTTCCAGGTTGTTTTCAAGAAAGGAAATCTTCTGTTTCTGGGAATGAGCCCCCCCGCTATCCTCGGGTTCCAGCTCCGCGCTCTGAAAGGGAAAGTACAGAGTGACCATGTGCCTGTGGAGTTGTGAAGGCTGGGATAGGAAAGGAAAGGAAAGGAAAGCCAAGCCTCAGGCCCTAATTCAGCTGGAAAGCACTGAAGTAGCTCAGCCAGAAATCCAGGAAGATGCCTTGTACCGAGGCTGAGTATTGATCCATCTCACCTAGTACTGGCAACTCTGACTGGCAACAGCTGTCTAGGATTTTAGGCCCCTTCTGGCAAATATTGTTCTTCCCTGGTGGTCTCCTGTTCAAGCGCTAGCCAGGTCCAACTCTCCTTAGCTTTTGAAAAGCTTCCTTGCTTTAGGCTGCCCCATAATAGAACACTGTTGTTATCATGTGGCATCAAGTGGGAACTAACTTATTTCAACCTTAATAGGGCTTTCAAGGTGAGGCACTAAAGGAGTGGTTTTACCAGTTCCACACACACACACCAGTGGGTTCCCACGGCTGAGCAGGGATTCAGCCTCCTGGCCTCCTGAGTCCATGACTCTGTCTACCACACCACACTGGGTATAAAATATTGCATAGAGTTTCCTCGTGGCCATAAACATACTTGGTGGCTTTAAGCAAGCCACCATCTCCCAGTTTTCGCTCCCTCCCTTTCCTCATCTGCAACAGAGCAGTAACATCACTAACCAGTTATTCCTGAGATAGTGTATGTGGAGTGTTCTGAGCACTCCAAAGTGCTTATAGCAGCCTCTTCTGCCCAAGATTACCCTGTTTTGCTGCTGAGCTACAATTTCAGTCACACTGCCTGAGGATGATGAGAATTGTAGTCGGACACATCAAGAAGGTGCCAGCTTTGAAATGGCTGTGCTAGATCTATGAAATAATGCCAGAAGCTGAGGATGAAGAGCTACCTACTTTCTTAACTCGAGTTGTGACGTCTTGAACGAACAGCTTGCGAAGGTTGTGGAGGGTCTGGAGTTCACGGGCCTGGCAGAGCGCAAAAACGAAAAAGGTGAGTTTGAGATAAGTCCGTTGTGAGCCTCAGCCTCCCTCCCCCTCCTCTACCTCTTCTTCTGACACTTACAACAGTCTCCTCCAGTCCTTTGAGGTCCTGCTTGGACTGCTCATGTCGCTCATACAGAAATCTGTGAGACAGAAACAAAAGGCTGCTCAAGCATCTGTGCATGAGCATGGGCAGATGCATCTTTTCATGACAGAAAAAGGTCCAGATGCACTCCTTGAAGCACAGCTGGCACCTATTGGCAAGTAGAGGCTGTGAACACATCAAGCAATACTTCAGCACTGCATCTGCCCCAGGGCATGCTGCGGTCACAAACCCCAGGGAGAAACCTGGATCTGAACTGCTTGGTCTAATATTTGTTATAAGTCTTTACAAAGTGGTTTTCATGTTGGAGGAGGTGAAGGTAAGTGGACAGGGAGAGATAGGGCTCTAAACTAATCTCTTTTGTTGTATGACAGAGTTGTGTGTGGCACATGTCTTGACCGGACTAAAGATGGGGTAAGCACTTGCACATTTTCTTCCCCTCAGTGGAAAAAGACATCTTAACACTCTGAGATTAATGCCCAGAAAATCGCTGTGAATATTTTCATTCCTATCCTAGAGAAACAAAGATCAGCACTTTTTGTCATCAGTAATACCCATACCAAAAGACTATATTTTGGTGCAGAAACATGTTTTTAATGCACAAAAAGTTTTGCATTTTAAAACTTGCAATACAAAGTTTTTTTGTGGTAAATGCAAGGGTTTTTTGTGCAAAATAATATCTGAAGTCTTCACAAAAAAGCCTTAAATTTTTAGGAAATTAAATTATCACGCCCAACAGGGAGAAAACTTTTGACATTTTTCATTCTTACCTGTGCAAACAAAACAGCCAACCATTCATATTCCTAGTCCAAAAATACTAAGTGCCAGTCTTCTGCCCTCCAGTGTGGGAAAATGCTACCGCATCACCAATATTCAAATGGCAGAACAGTCAATGTCTATGCTTCGAATTGGTGATGGTTCTCCCTGTTAAGTGTTGCCTAGGGGGACTTGGGCATGAAGAAAAAGACAGAGGTCTATGCAAGACCTTTGAAGTATGTGTTGATGGTAACAGATCTCCACTTAGGGGTGGAAGTTTGAGTGCCGGCCACTTCCTTAGCTACAGTTCTAGAATGTTCTAGAACTGATCTGTGCAGGCACAGAAACTCTGTGTGGTCTGCCCACCAGACTAGCAAGAAACAGTGCTTGAAAAAAATTCCTTTTTATGGGAATGCTGCTTTTAAACCATTCCCTATTGAGCAAGGCCAATGGTGGTGGAATTTCAAGCACTGACATACACCAAGTGTGAGTATTTGCCCATCCAGTCTAGTGTAGTCAACTCTGACTGGCAGAAGCTCTCCAGAGTCTGAGGCTGAGAATTCTTTCCACCTCTTCCTCCTTTTTCAAACTGAAGGTGGCAGAGGCTGAACCAGGCACTTCGTGCATGCAAAGCTCTACCAGTGATCTATGTACTCTTTACACTGCATATGTTGCATGAGTTTATAGGGGAACTTAGGGTTCTCCAGAGGTTATTGGGCTGCAGTTCCCATTACCCCTAGCCAGCATGACTAATGGTGAAGGATTATGGCAGCTGGAGTCTAACTATGATGGGTATACACAGACACACCATCTCCAGTCCATACAGAGAAGCTTGTTCCAAGCCAATGCCTCCTGCCCCTCTTGGAGGCCTTCCTGCAGCAGAGGTGAGGAGAAGTAGCAGTGAACAGCTGGGGAAAGGAAGGGAAAGAGGGTCTCTTACGTCAGCTCCTGAAGCTTTTGTGCTTTCTCTTGCTCCTCATTCTTGAGCTTCTCATAGTCAGCACGGAGCTTCTCCAGTTCAAGCTCTAACTTCTGGTTCAAGCTGGGCAAAGATAAAATGTGGGGAGAAACAGAGATAATGAACATCAAGATGGCAACCATGTGCAAAGACTACTGTGCTTACACACTAGCTTTACACATGAGTGTGAGATTGACATTAACTGGAGTGAGGTGACTGCCTCAGGTGGCACATTCTGGGGGACTACAGCAAAATAGACCTATATGTGCCACATGGCCTCTCCTGCACCCTCTTGCCAATGGCTTATATCCCTCTTAGTTCTTTTTTCTCATATGTTCCCTGACCACTGATACCTTTTCTTCTTCTCCCTTCTCCTCTTCCTCCTCCCATATGCACCTCAAGCCCATAACACAATCCTGACCATGGCCTCTTTGCTGTCCAAACCCAGCATGGCGTGTCTCATCACAAGACATATCTCTCCACCCCTCACACCCCCTCCTCGCCCACTCGTGGGGGTGACCTGGCCCACCCTCAGGGTGACTCACTCCTTGAGCTCATCAATGGTCTTCTGCTTCTGGTTAATCTCGTCACGCAGCCGGGCCAGTTGCTTGTGGTGGGCCTCGCGATGACTCTCCAGTTGTACTTCCAGGGCCTTCTGTGTAATGGCAATTAGGTAGTTCAGAAATGCAGAGGACAATCCCAGGATGCTTCACCTGGCAAAACATTCTTGATCCTCTCCAGAAGGAGTGGTCTCCATCCCATCATACCAAAATTTCAAACACCTATCATATTCCTGCTGTCCCCCTGCTCCCTACATCATCTGTTTCCCTCCTAGTACTCTGTGACAGCAGCCTAGGATCAGGGCCAGCACTAGAAATGTGTCAATCAGGTTGTTTGGACTCCAACTCCCAGAATTCTTCAAGAATGCCCCTGGCCAAATTCTGGGAATTCCAGCCCACAGACCCACATTGGCAGAAACCTACATTTTGCTCCCCTGTCTTGGAGGTTTCTCGGCCTTCTCAGCTTTGTGTTTCCTGTTGTTAATATACTAAAAGGGAAGCTGCTGCAATGCTTAATGGGAGTGATAGTCACACTGCCCTTTAGGCTGTATAGAAGGTGCCTCCCAAAAAACTATCACTCCCAGGAAGCACAGCTGCAAAGGGCCAATTCAGTGATAAAAAAGGACACATTCCCTTTCTAGATGGAAGAGCTCCCTTAAAAAGATTAGGCATACGGCTCTTTTACTCACCTTGACTTCATCAGTATCCTGGATCAAGTCTTGCTCCTTGCCCACTTCATGTACCGTTTCTGTTAAGAAGAAATAGGAGACTCTTGGGGTGGGGCCACAGTCAGATCAGTGAGGGTGAATGTCCTCAGGAATGGTGAATTGGGCCTAGATTTGGGAGACCTGTGCCTTCTCACTTTCATTTACTAATAGGTCTTCTAAGGGGACGTGGTGGACCTGCAGGTTAAACCGCAGAAGCCTCTGTGCTGCGGGGTCAGAAGACCAACAGTCGTAAGATCAAATCCACATGACGGAGTGAGCTCCCGTCGCTAGTCCCAGCTCCTGCCAACCTAGCATTTCGAAAGCATGTAAATGCGAGTAGATAAATAGGTACCACCACAGTGGGAAGGTAATGGTGTTCCGTGTCTAGTTTCGGAAACTGTCTTTGGACAAACGCTGGCTCTACGGCTTGGAAACGGGGATGAGCACCACACCCTAGAGTTGGACATGACTGGACTAAATGTCAAGGGAAACCTTTACCTGCCAAGTGGATCTATGCCTGAGTTTGTAAAACTTCAAAATGGCTTGAACACTGCCTATAGTATTTGGCCTGAGTAGGCACAGTTTTGCAAATATATCTGGAGACATCAGGTTAAGTACTCCTGCTCTAGCCCACTTGGGGTATAATGCCTGATTGGGTACAGCAATGTATGTCAGAGGCATGGGACTAATGGCCTGTCACCAGTGTTCTCCCTCCAAGGTTGAGCACGGAGCTCTTATTGTTTAATAGGAACTCTATTGTATTGAGGTTTTTCCAGATTCTGTGGAGGCTTCACCTTGCATTCAAACAAAGCTGAGAAATCCCCTCTCCAGTCGTTCTCCCTCATTACAGAACGGTTGGGACCAGCATCCTTGGGCATACCAGGAACAGAGCTCATGTTCATGGCCTCTTGTCGATGTTGACGACACCCAGTTTGGGCATGATGCCTGAACTGTGCCGTTTCAGCTCCATCTCACAACTACCACTAAGTCATAAGGCAGCGGATAAATTAAAATAAAAAAATCAACTCATCTGAGAATTGAGAATTAGAATGACTTGCTCCGCTGCTAAGCATTTTGCAAATGAAAATTTATATAAATCAACACTAGGGAGGTATTCAGGTCGGGGCAGCAGGTGAGTCTCAAGGCTTAAAGGCTTAGCTCAGTGGTTCTTAACCTTGGGTTACTCAGGTGTTTTTGAACTGCAACTCCCAGAAACCCCACCCAGCACAGCTGGTGGTGAAGGCTTCTGGGAGTTGAGGTCCAAAAACACCTGAGTAACCCAAGGTTAAGAACCACTGGTTTAGCTGACAGCTGCCCCCACATTGCAGAACTCTCTCCCCAGGAAGGCTAGACCATTCCCACCCCCATCGCCCTGTTGTCCATCTGCAAGTAGACTCTTTTTTTAATTGAGGTGGGCTTCTGGAACCACCACCATCCCATCCCCATTGTCTGGTATAAGTTATGCAAGTTGCCTTCATGTTCTTGCATCTCATAGGCATAAAATTCTAGCACAGCACCTTGGGCCTGCAGTTTTGCCAGCTCTTCACTCAGCGCGTCATAGGATTCCTCCAGGTTCCGTTTCTTCAGCTCCACGCTCTGCATGTACTCAGTGAGTGAGCGGATCTTTGCCTCATGCTGGGTGAAGAGGGGAAGGGGTTTGTGGGAGAAGAGCAGACAAGACAGAATTACTTTCTGGGCCTTACCTGACTTCTAGACCTCCTAATAACCTTCCTCATCTTCTGCAGGAGGTCCCCTGAGTTAATGTTCATCTTTGAAATGCAAACTGTCCCCTCTCCACAATCTGTCATAAGAGTTTCAAATCAACAGCTGAATGAAGTAATCCAAGAGCCACCTCTCAAGGTACAATTTAGGGTGCATGGACATCTAAAATGTAACTTTAAGGAGGGCTGCTAGATTCCTTCTTCCAGCTGCAGTTCTGGAACTCTGAAGACAGGCTAAAGAAGGGGAATGCCTAAATAGCAGGGGCGCATCTCTAAATATTTGTGTAAACATGTCTCCCGTTTTCTGTCTGAAGCACTCATGTACCACGAAGTAATGATACTTGCCACATAAAATATAGAGCCATTCTCAGATCATAAAGTAACAATTGCCTTATAAAATGGGAAAGAGCTACCACCCATATTAAAAGGCCCTCCTTCCTCTTATATGGGCTGGAACCCATGTTCCTTCAAAGAGAAGTTACTTCAATCTATCCAGCTTCTTCTGAAGATTTACTCTCCTTTCACAATTCCAGTTTTAGGGCACCTGGCCTTCCCTATAAGGTGCCGCCATCTGGTCTCTGCCTCTTTTGAAAAATGAGCAGATGCCAGCCAGCCATGGACCAGAGGAGAGTGAAAATGGTTCCTGGATCCAGTTCACACTACCACCCTTCCCTGAGGTCACCATCCCTTTCATCTCCATTCCCATGAAACTGACCTGAGATATAAGCAGTTGGCAGGAAGACAGTTCCCGTCCTGTCACCTCCATCTTGCGATGACACTCCACTTGCAGCCCTTCCAGCTGCCGGCAGCGCTTCACAACTGACTTCACTTCTGATTTGATCTTGCTAATGTAGAGCCGGGCTACAGTGAATTCCTCCTCAATGGCACCGCTTATCTCTACAGGCTGGGAATTTTTAAAAGGGAGAAGGGGGCATGAGGAATATACTTTGGGCACAGATCTCCAGCTTCTGACCCTTCCAAGTAGAACTATTTGCAACAGCTGGCACCACAGATACAATTCAGGTTCAAGTTCCTACCCTTCATCCAGTTGCTTTGTACAGCAGAAGTGGAGAAACTTGTGATGCTCCAGATATCGATGAACTGTTACCCCATGCCTTACTTCTAGCCAGGTTGCTTCGGACTCAAAACAACAGGAGTCCAACAATATCTGAAGGGCTCCAGGTTTCCAAGTGGTTTTTCAGAAAGAATCCAGATGATCACTTTCTAAATGCTAAACCATTACTTTCCTGTGTTAATAAGGCTGTACTTCCTTGTTTTCAAAATAAAACCCCCACCCCAGTGTATGGCCATTTCACCACGTTGCTAAACCATTACTTTCCTGTGTTTTCCAGGCTGTACTTCCTTGTTTTCAAAATAAAACCCCCACCCCAGTGTATGGCCATTTCACCACCACCATCACCTTGAAACTCAAATGTAGTGCCTGCTTGTCTATCTGCCACCACCATCAACCTTCAAGTCCATCCTTGTGTTGCCACGTTGTGAGGAACAGATAAGATTTTAAAAATGGCCTGATAGGATAGGCCAAGTGTTACTGGAGTGGGGAGGTGGGCTTCTTTTTCAGATTTGTTTTCCATATCCATAAAGCAGGAAAAGATAACACGCAATCTATGGGCTGCATGAAGCCCTCAAGCCATAGGCTTTTAGCATCATGGCAACAGTAGGGCCTGCAGTGGATGCTAGTGGAGCAACAATTAACCAGGAGCCTCATTGAAGTTGTCCACCCCTTCATAAAATATCCCTGCATCTGTGAAGTGTCTTGTCTTTCCTTACCAGCTTGATCTCACCATTGCCCACAATGACGCTGAACTCGCTCAGATCCTTCATGAGGCCGTTGAGCACCTCAGCAATGCGCTTACGCTGGTGTGCGCTGAACTCCTGCAGCCGCTGCAACTCCGATTCCAAGGAGAGCATAGTTGCCTACAAGGAGAGAAAGAGGGGATTGTGCTTCAGTCAGCTCAAATGAGAGGCTCTCCCTTGGTTTTCAAAGACTGACATCTCAATTTTTGTCTGATAGTACTTCTCTCAGCTCCATTCTTCAGAGTAGAACCAGATTTTGAAAAGACAAATCTTTATATTTATCTAATCATATTTTCTGTAATGTCCTTTTTAGAGTGGAAGCTTGTAAGCAAGGACTTGTTTTGCCTTCGTTGATTGTATGCAAGCCGATTCTAAGAGCCTTTCTGACTGAGAAGCAGGATCAAAAAAAATATGAATAAAAAACCAAACTTCAAAGTGCGGGCCATAGGAATTCCTAGTTTGCTTAAATTGTGAGAGTGGAGCTTTCTCTTTTCCAATTTAACTTGATAGAAATGAAGTTCTGCATCTACAATCTGTCACTATATCCATGTCCAGGGTTGCTGGCAAGTCTATGACTCTGACTCCAAGTCCCAAGTCTTTGGTGCCGAGTCCCAAGTCCAAGTCCCTATTAAAAACAAGTGGGCCCTCCCACCAGAAAAAAAGGGAAGGGAATGGGTGGTTCCCACGTTGTGAGTCAAGTTTAAGTCATTTGGGACCGGGGAAAGGAGTCAAATCTGAGTCAAGTCCCCGGTGCAACTTAAGTCTGACTGGACAGCAAGTTCCATGACTTGAGTGCCCATCCATGTCTGTATGTATTGTGAACAGCCCAGCCTACAGCTATTGAATTTTACCCCCCAGAAGACCCTACCGAGCATTAACATCGTTTACTTTCTGGTGTCAAATTAAGACTTTCTGTTCTTCTTGCCCTTTCAGGTTATTTCTTATTTTAGACCTTTCTGATGGTTCCAGCTCAGTGTTTGCTGGTTAGGTTTTTGTCTCTACATGTTGGATTTCATTTATTTTAATGCTGGCTTTTTTACTGTTGCATTTCAGGGTTGGTGGAATCTTATACACAGTCATCTGGGAATATGTCCTATTTAAGCCAAATGATTTTACTCTCGGTAGACATACACAGGACGGTACTGCCATTGTCATACTTGATTGCAGGAAGCATTGCTTTTTGAAAATGGTTATAGAACACGCCAGAAACTCATCTGACAGATAAATCAGATAATAAATAGAAATAATACTTTTCTATGCATACACAAAAAATTAAAATTATGCAGCAAGAAAAACTGTATTCTGCAACATGTATAAATTATGAAAACCAGCTTCCTCAGTTTTCTGAATAATTTATTCTGTCTTTTAAACTGTTTTGCATAATTTATGGTAGTAGTGCCAGTTATGATAAGGAATTGTGCCACATCTCGACAACTGGAATTATTACTCAACCCTTCTGCTTGCTCCATAGACTTCAGCAATTATAGATCACATACTTTCCAGCATGTCTTTACATTCAAAAAGGATAGAAAACTGGTCCTAAGAAAAAACCTCCTGAAATTCTCAGAGAGACTTTTCTGCCATTGATACTATGCAGTGCACTTCTCCAGACCAAACCCAATTTTAAGATCAATACTTACCACCTTTTGGGATAGTTCATCCACCAACAACTGATTCTGTTGGTTTTTCTCTTCTACCTCCTGGGATTTTTGGTCATAGTTGACAGCCAGTTCTTCCAAAGCCTGCAGAACCTCCTTCACCTCCTCCTTGGCAGAGTTGTTCTCGGACTGGAGGTGGCTTAGCTCTCGCTGCACCTTTTCATTATCTCCACGAGTTGACATAAGGAGCTGGTGGGAAGCAGGCAGAGTGAGATGCATGTATGGTGCCAAGCAGGCAAAAAGAAAAGAAGAAGAAGAAGAAGTCAAGGAAGATCAAGAGGGAAGTAAGAATAGCATTAATAGCAATAATGTCATATTAGGACCCAAGAGATTCAGGACCAAATCCTCACTCAGCCATGAGCCTCACATATTGATCTTGGGTTAGTCATCAACTCACAGAGTTGATGTGAGGACAAAATGGTGACATGAGGAAGAACTGTGGATAGCACTAGGAGCTTCTGAGAGGAAAACTAGGTTTAAATGCAATAACTGGAAAGGACAAAGCAGCTGAGAGAGAGAGACATGGTAGAGAGAGAGAGAGAGAGACATGGTGCACACACACACACACACATTATTATAAATGCACATAACCCTGCTCACCTCTTCCTGGTCCAGCATCTGCTGTTTGAGCTTCTCCATCAGTTGGCTCTGCTGGTTAATTTCATCATCCTGTATGGAAAGAAAAAAAATTCTTCATGGCTAAGCCACCTTGAGTTCCACTAGTGGGAGAAATATTCTACATCCAGAACGCACAAAGGGCGGAACACAGGATTGTCACAAGGTATCTTGCTACCTGGGGCAATGAATAAGATGGCACCACCACCTCCACCTCCATTCCACATTCAGAAACCAATCAAATGGCCACTGAGTATTAGTCGAATGCTGGCAGCAGGACAGTATCCCCAGCCAAAGGTGGCAGATTAGTTTAAATTCTCATTCTCAATTGGGGCCATATGGCCCCCTGGGGGGGCACATTTGAAGGGGGCACAGACTGGAAACAATTCTTCACACACCACCTTATAAGGTTCGTCATGCAACTTATACAACCCTGATTCGGCTTATATTTTTTTCATGTTATGTTTATGGCCATGGCCAAAAAAAGGCTGAGAATGGCTGGCTTAGAGGAATGTAGTATAGACCACCGAATGCACACAGCCCTAATGGGTGAGCAGCATGCAATGGGCAACATGCTGCTGGACTGCCACTCCCATCAGCCCTCATCACTGGCTATGCTATGTAGATGGGACTTAGACTCTGCTCTACTCTGCTCTACCTAATGGTACAGCCAGCCTTAGGAGACTTCTAGCACTGAGATGGGGAGAAAATGTTAAACATCCAAGTAATCCAAGAGGGTAAGAGAACCTCAAGATCAGCCCAAGAGAAGCTGGGAATAAGAAGGCCTCTGACCTTGTCATCAAGCTGCTTGTAGAGTTTGCGGATTTCTTCCTCATACTTGTGCCTCTCCTCATCAGAAATCCGGATGACGATGGAGGAATTGTTGTCATTAATAGGCGTCTCATCACAGAGGGCAGCGACCACCAATCCATTACAACTAGTAGCTATAGGGATCCCAGTTCTTCTTGAGATTATAGATCGAGAAGACTGGACAATCCACATAGCTGGCTTTCATGTGGTATCCCCACAGAAAAGTTACCATACATCTCCCTGATCACCCGGAACCTTCCCTTGGATCCTACCCTTCCTGGATGCCTCAATTATATTGGCGCTAGCTGTTTAGTGCCTAGCCACACTGTAATCCAAGCTGAGCATACATCCACCTGGCATCCTCTGCATTTAATTAATAAATCAGCATCAGTCCAGTATCCTAGTTTACACACACTTAAGAGACTACACTCCCCGTTCCTTTTTCTCTGGCAAATAGCAGCTCTCTCACTCTCTCCAGATCCAACTGTGCTCACAATTTCTTGGCCACCCACAACCTCTGATCTGTGCAATGGCTCAATGGATTGCTTCATGAAAATAGGAAGATGTAGAAGTCTTGTTGGAAAGTTCAGTCAAGGACTCCTAGTTTACACACACTTAAGAGACTACACTCCCCGTTCCTTTTTCTCTGGCAAATAGCAGCTCTCTCACTCTCTCCAGATCCAACTGTGCTCACAATTTCTTGGCCACCCACAACCTCTGATCTGTGCAATGGCTCAATGGATTGCTTCATGAAAATAGGAAGATGTAGAAGTCTTGTTGGAAAGTTCAGTCAAGGACAAATCCATTGTATCCATTACAACTAGTAGCTATAGTGATCCCAGTTCTTCTTGAGATTATAGATTGAGAAGACTGGACAATCCACAAAACTGGCTTTCATATGGTATCCCCACAGAAAAGTTACCGTACATCTCCCCGATCACCCGGAACCTTCCCTTGGATCCTACCCTTCCTGGATGCCTCAATTATATTGGCGCTAGCTGTTTAGTGCCTAGCCACACTGTAATCCAAGCTGAGCATACATCCACCTGGCATCCTCTGCATTTAATTAATAAATCAGCATCAGTCCAGTATCCTAGTTTGCACACACTTAAGAGACTGCACTCCCCGTTCCTTTTTCTCTGACAAATAGCAGCTCCCTCACTCTTTCCAGATCCAACTGTGCTCACAATTTCTTGGCCACCCACAACCTCTGATTTGTGCAGCGGCTCAATTTATCTCTTCATGACAAATAGGAAGATGTAAAAGTCTTGTTGGAAAGTTCAGTCAAGGACAAATCCATTGGTCCCAGAGCACATGTCTCACTTCACCTATACAGTGGTGCCTCGCTTAACGAGCGCACCGTATAATGACGAAATCGCATAGCGATGCGGTTTCCGCGATCGCTAATGCGATCGCTTACTGATGGCCCAGATGGGCGAAACTCGCATAGCAAAGGTCAGTAAGTGTTTCGCTTACCGACGTTCACTTTGCGACCTGCAGATCAGCTGTTCGGCAGTTCCAAAATGGCTGCCGGAAGCCCCGAAATGGCCGCGCGCAGCGTTTTCGTGCCCTCAGTAAGCGAAGGGAGGGCGCGAAAATGTTTAATGCGTTCCAATGGGTTTTCTTGATCCATTCAGCGATGTTTTCACATAGCGAGGGTTAATCCAGAACGGATTAACCTCACTATGCAAGGCACCACTGTATGTGGTCCATACAGGCAGAGATGTATCCATTGCACCTCCCACCTTACTTGGAAAACGAGACTAAACAAGAGAGGATTCAAAAACAAGACAAACATGCCCCCCTTTTCCCTGTTCATCCTGGCTCACCACTGCGCCAGCGCCCGAGCTCAGCCTCCAGCTTGGCAATTGTCTCCTTTAGGACCTTGTTCTTCTCCTTCTCCTTCTCAAACTTCTTCTTCCATTGCTCGGCTGTCAATTCCAGATTCACTGATGCTGTATTTTTGATTGTCTTGGCCCTGTAATGGGAGAAGGTTAAATGGAAGAGCCTTTACACAGAGCACTTGGTACTGCTTGGCCTGAACACATCCGGTCTCAACCTCCACATCACTGACCATTCCTCTACAGTCTATTATGTCCAGCCTGTAATTGTCAATTTTGCAAAGCTGAAGCAGCGAGGAACCAGCTCCTCTGAATGTAGCAAGTTGCCTTATGCCAAGCCAGACCTGAGTCCATCTATTGACATTGACTGGCAATTGATCTCCAAGTTTTCATGGTGGGGGCTTTCTGATCCCTACCTGGAGATGCTGGGGGTTGAACCTGGACCTTTTACATGAAAAGTAGGTGCTCTGTCACTAAACTAAAGTTCTTCCCTCAAACAGACTCTGAGTTATCATGATTTATGAGAGCAGAATCAACCAGCTTAGCAAGTCTTGTTCTGAGTTGACAGCTTCCAAAGATATGGGAACCATACACTACTATCTCTTCTGTTATTAGCCTTTTAGGAACAACCATACAATCATGTTATATGTGTAGTGTTGCTGTACCCCACATGATTAAGACTCACAAGTTACCATGTAATAAACTCCTTCCTTCCATCTTTCCCTATCCTTTCCATGAGGGGAGGGGGGGAGCGCCTAAAAACTTTTACTTGAAGCACTATGGGTTGTTCCAAATGCTAGTACTATATAGTAGGAAGCTCTCTCTCTCTCTTTCTAATCCATTTGATCAATTATTTCTCTTTCCCCTTGTGAAGTGCCTATAGCCAACCACACCAACACCAAGAAGGAAAGAAATGGGCCAGGGCTAGGGGATTACCTTTGTCCAAACATGAGAGTAGATTTGGTCTCAGCATCATTATAACTGGAAGGGGAGCAGCAGATAAACATGGTCGTGCGACAGTTCCCACCCAGGGAATCCTGAAGGATGCGAGTCATCTTACTATCACGGTAAGGCACGTAGCTCTTCTGCATGAGATAACAGGGGGCAGAACAAATTTGACTCATTCATATATGGGCAAAAAACCCCAGAAACACAACATCATTCAATAGGTCCCTGTTCATGGTGGTGAGAAGAATCGTATTGAACCAATTCCCTATTGAACAAGCACAGCTGTATTAAGCTCTGCTTCCAAAATCAAACGACAAAGCCTACGTCAGTGGAAAGAAGGAAACCAACAGCACTAGCATTCACTCCAGATTACACGTGAACAACTTTGTTGATGGTCCTGGTCACATCAGAAGGTTTCACCCCATTCTTGGGGAGAGAGCCAAATACAATGTATGGCATGTCAGGGCAGAATGAGGTGGCACAGTTTTGAATCCTTGTTCAATCATGAAGCTCGTAGCCATTCACACCCCATCCCATTGCAATATACTTCGGGGGACAACAACAACAGCAACCTTAAAAACGTACAAGCTTTCATAGCTTAATTTTTTATCCCTCTCCTTGGAGGAAGAAATCTGTCAACTGTTTTGTTTCTACTTCACTTTTTCTCTTAACCTTCCTCTTATTTTCACCGTGTCTTTCCCAGACCCAGCTTCTCGAAGTCCAGATTTGTATTTAACAGGATACAACAGCAGCATGCTTTGTCATATCCATTAGGGCAGCAGGCCACTAGAGCAAATGTGTGAAATAAAGGTGTTTGTCTTTAAGTGCCAAACACAATTTTTTGCTGCAACTACAGTATCTCATGTGGTCATGCTGCCTCGCCTCCACCGGCTGCTTTGCAAGATTCTTATAAAGATAGACATTTTTGAGAATGGAGAAAGAGAGAGAAAGAGAAAACTTATTTTAACTCCTTAGAAAAGAGGCAGGATATGAATGCATGCATCTCATTTTTTGCCACACGTCATTAACAACACTTACGTAGCAAAGAGAACCAGTGTGATAGATTAAAGTGTTGGACTATGATGCAAGAGAGCTGGGTTCAAATCCTCCACTCAGTCACAGAAACTTGTGGAAGGGTGGCAATTTTAAACCACTCTTGGTAGACACTAAAAACCCTATTAGGGTTACTGTAAGTTGGAAGTGACTTGAGGGCATATAAGTATAAAAGTGTAACTTCTGTAGATATGCAGGGACATGGTGGCGCTGCGGGCTAAACCGCAGAAGCCTGTGCTGCAGGGTCAGAAGACCAAGCAGTCGAAGATCGAATCCACGGGACGGAGTGAGCTCCCGTCGCTTGTCCCAGCTCCCGCCAACCTAGGGGTTCGAAAGCATGCAAATGCGAGTAGATAAATAGGGACCACCTCGGTGAGAAGGTAACAGCGTTCCATGTCTAAGTCGCACTGGCCATGTGACCACGGAAGATTGTCTTCGGACAAAACGCTGGCTCTATGGGTTGGAAACGGGGATGAGCACCACCCCCTAGAGTCGAACACGACTGGACAAAAATTGTCAAGGGGAACCTTTACCTTTACCTCTGTAGATATGCTAGAGAAACATAGATTGCTGTCCTATACTGAGTGAGACTGGGGGTGTCTATCCTGCCCAGTTCTGGAGACAGTGGGTGTACACGGCTTTCCAAAGTTCCAGCCCAGATTGTTTCTCAGCCTGACTGGGTGATGCCAGGGGGTAAAACTGGGATCTGCTGCAAGCAAAGTGTGCCCTGTACCCACTGAGCTGCAGCCTCTCCATCATGAGGGAGCTATTTATGTTCCATGATGTTGCTTAACCTTAGGGACTCATCATCTTAACAATTAGTAGAGCTGGGAAAAAATGCCTTTAATTCTTTTTGTAGTAATCTTACAGTTTTGTTTGGGTTTTGCTGGATCCGCAAGGCCCATAAGGGGAAAAAAGCCCAGTCTTTCTAAACAGCACACAATTAAGATGCGCAGCATCCACTCAATTACACATTTTGAATCTCTCATTATTGCCGATCAGTAAGAGAATCTCTTATTGCCAGAATCTCACAAGCATCTCCTGTCCTTGTCCTGAATACAGCGAGAAAAACCTCCAAACTCACAACCTTAGATCACCAGTTAATTTCAGATCTGCTGTTTCTCAGTTTCTAAAAGGCAGGTATACTCCCTTCCATGATCACAGAACCAATATCTGAGCTTCAGAAAGTCAATTTAAGATCACATCCATTAGTGCATTAGCACACCCATTTTCTTCCAAATAACCTTGCGACAATGACATTGGGATTTTAAAAATAAGAGTCGCTTGGTTTTGTGTTTGTTGTATCTTGACCACGGAAGGCAGGCTTCATACATGTGTCAGCAACTTAAGGGATTAATTGGCAAGCTTTATTTACAGCTTCTCTGCAGGGCTCCACACAGAGGACTTCAGAAGGCTCTCTCCCAGGAGTAAGGAATGTGAGGGAGGCTGCTTGGCGACGTTGCTTTGTGCTTCCAAACAGTATAGTCTCTCCACACTTTCAAACTTATCTATATAAATATGAGTTCTAGAAACTCAGAGGGATTTTCAGAGTCTGATAACAGCTTGCAGGTTACACAAGTATCTCCTGTAGATCACAGTATATGTCATATGTGAGCTGTATATTGGACTAACGTGCTCTTGTATCATACCCGTGTTAGGAATATTGAAAGCTAGGTTATTTGGACATAGCAACATATGCACTGGGGGTTAGATCTAGATCACTGGTTCTTAACCTTGGGTTACTCAGGAGTTTTGGACTGCAACTCCCAGAAGCCTTCACCACCAGCTGTCCTGACTGGGGTTTCTGGGAGTTGCAGTTCAAAAGCATCTGAGTAACAAAGGTTAAGAACCACTGATCTAGATAATACAAAGTTCTTTTCAAGGGTGTTGCCTACCGTGCCTTCAGCTAGCGCTGAGATGACATTGCCAAGTGCTGATAGGGACTTGTTGATATTCTTGGCCTCATCCAGCACAGCACCTTCAGCTCCTGTTTTGCTGACCTACCAAGAAAAAGAGAAGCGAAGTGATTACCATGAACACAATGAGTCTGGAAACAAGTCTTTTCCCCTTAATTGACAAACTGACCAGGTTTTGGAAGAAAAACAGACAATGTTAACTAGAAGGCCAAAGGGACAGAGCAAGAAAAAGTTATTTTCTTAAATACAATTTTCCCAACTCCCTGGCCAGCATAAGCATGTGGGGAATTTCTGGGTATTTTAGTCCAAAACAATAACTCTTCCAACCTCTGAATAAAAGTAACAGTAATGTCCAAGACAGAAAACAGAAACCTGCTGCCCCCATATATCAGGATCTTCCCCAAGTCTCAAAGTACCTGAAGAAAATTTATTGCCACTTAATA